GCCAGATCTGGCCATCAGCGACGGCCAAAGAAATGGCCTCGTTGACCGAAACGACGGCTACATCTTTGGCCGTCGCTGACGGCCAAGATGGCCCTCGTTTGGCCTTTTTGGCCGTCGACGCCACAACGGACCGTAGATCTGGCCTTTTCCGACCAGATCCACCATGGATCTGGCCGGAAAACCATAACGACGTGTTACGGCACAGACCGACAAGTCTGTCCGTAACAATTTTCCGGCCAGATTCCGACGGTGGTGGCCGGAATCTGACACGGCGGTGGTGGGGGTGTTTTTGTCATTATTATGTTAGGGTCTTTAGTTAAATTAGTAAACCTAAGGGCTTTTTTACAAATTTTTAAATTTACCTCGTAATCCTCCATATCCAATAACCCAATACTATCCCTAAAATCCTATCTAAAATACTAAACCAAATGCACCCATAAATAAATACTTATTTTTATATAACTTACCTAATTATTATTTATATAAATTTATTTATAATTATATATTAAATTAACTAACACTTTATCCTTCTAGAAGGAGTTTTTGGCTACGCGCTTGTTTATTGTTTATAAGTGTAGGATTTCTCTAATTCAACTTTGTCATTTAAATGAATGTATTATATCATTTAGAAGGTTTCATATTACTCTATTTAAAAAAAAGCCAATATTTTCAATGTGGGTCCAAAATTTCACCTTAATCAACACTTGGAAACATTATCTATTGCCTTATCCTATAATCTGATTTGCGACCCAAAATATCCCAATATTTAATCTTAATTAAGTAAGTATCGTGATACTAAGTTGAGTATTGGGTAAATCAGGCCATCCATCTGGACCGTCCAATGTCCTGGCTTCAGATTAATAATACGATCAATAAATTCAGAAGAGAATGTGAATAATGTTTTTGTTTCTTAACGGTAACAGCGCGTGCATTGCAGCTTCAGGGAATGCTTGCAGAGAGTGGAAACGACAAAAATGAAGTGAACACAAAGTCACTGAATGGGGACCCAGGAGCGACAAGTGTGAGAGATGGCTAATATTTTAAAATGTTAAGAGTTGAGACAGTGAACCTAGATATAAAAAAAAAAAAAGGAAACGACTTATACATACCTCAAGTTTGTATAGATAAAATGGTATTTAAAAAATTTAAAATGATAAATACTTATTTTTTTCATATTTTATTAAAAAATTATTTTTTAAAAATAAAAATATAAAAGATTGAAATATTCTCATTTTCATTCCTAACACACGTCACAAGGGTTAATACTACTGTTTATCACCAACATTCTAAAAAATGTTAAATTTGAACAATAATGAATTAATGACCCAATAAGACTGTACAAATAAGTTTGGTATGAGAAGATACAAAGAAAAAGATTTAAAATTTAAAAATTTTATCCTGTAGATAAAATTATTATATTATCGTTGTATACATAAATCTATAAAAGAATATGATAAAAATATTTGTTTTTCATTTCAAATATTTTAGGTATTATTTGTCTTTATTTCAACTTTGGTTGGCGGCAGCTCGTTCGGCCATAAAATAAGAATATATAAAGATTGCCACGCTGTCACCGCATAATTTTGTCAGTATCCATGTGTCTTACTTGGAACCGACTCCTTAGTCTTACGTCATACGAGATATACCTTACCACCACGCCTACACTTTTTAAATTTTAGTTTCTTTACTTAAAAGGATTATTTTTACACCCCCTCAAACAATAAATTATTAACACCCGCTTTCACCCCTGTTGCAATTTTGGTGTTAAGAGTTAATTAAGACGGGCAAAATAGACATTAATGTTAAAATACGAATTATGAATAGGTTCGTTGAGTTGAGTATTTAACTAATAGATAAAGTTAGAGTTAATAACTCTCTTTAAACCCTAGTTTAGTAAATACGTGTTTTATACACGAATTATACGATCATCTTATAATTCGCGTATAAAACACGTATTTACGCACTTTTTAAATAACTGCCGAATTATTCGCGAATTATTGGAACATCCATATAATTCACGTATAATTCTCGTATAATTCACGAATTATTCAAAAGAAAAAAAACCTGATTGAAACGACGTTTTTGGTAGGGGAAGAAGAAATTAGTGGGTAAAGGAGAATTATTCACGAATAACCACCATCTCACACCTCGGCCTCCCACTTCCACGTAGCCCCTCACCGAGTAAAGCCCCCAATGATTTACATCCCCTATTGAATTTCAGATTTCTTTCATACTTTTTTCATTTGTTGGTTCGATTTCGGTGGCTGATGATTCATGATTTTAGTTTAAAGTGTTATTTTGGAAAGGAGGGTAGGCTGGTGGCCACTGGGATTCGTTGGAAGGTGGAGGTGTTGGAAGGAAGGGGTGAGGGTCCATGAGGTGGTTGGGCTTTGCGGAACTGAGAAGGGTTATGACGTTTGCTGCTTGCGGCAGCTGTGTGGTGTGACTTGTGAGACAGTGAGAGTGAGTTGGTGGGTCATGGGTGCTGGTGAAGAATAAGCATTAAGCGGTGGCGTTTTATGTAGAAAAAGATTAATAAATCCTTTTATTGAATTATTTTATTTATTGATTAATCTTATATTTCAGGTTACATTGTAACGCTAATCTTTTATATAGATTTGTGAGGCAAAATTTTAGTTCTTGATTTAATATAATTTAATGGATTAATGGGAAGTTAAAATTGGTTACATTTAATATCAAACTTATCAAGTTTTAATTTAGTAAAGAATCATGACTAAATATTGTGTTTGAGTTTGGAGACTATAATTTGAATATTAGTTATATATTGTATATTTGTGTTATTGGTTAATTGAATACTTTGCATTTGAAATTTTATATTGATTTTAACTAGATAATCCATAAAAGTGTTAAAATTAAGATTGATATTGCCGTATTTTTTAAAACGTATTATTGACAATGCACCGTATTAAACCCGTATATACTCGTATCGTATTTTTCCCGTATTCGAATTTTATGGCCGATTTTTATAAACGTATTTTTCACCATTTGCCGTATTATACCCATAAAATTCCGTACCCTTTTTTTGCCGTACCCGTATTTACTAACTAGGATTAAAACATGTATGACTCAACATATGAGTTTAACTGTAAAGGAGAGTGTTGGAGTCTCATATTGAATAGACACGCTAAAACTCTTTAGTTTATAAGAGAGTGTAATCCTCTCATTCAACAAAACCTTATTGGGTGAAGAGTCAGACCCACCTCAAATTCTATCAAAATATATTTTGAAAAATTTAATATTATTTAAAAAATTGCTAAATACTTTTTATTATTTTGATTTACAAAAAAAGTTTTAAAAGCTATATTTTCATTTTTTTCAGGTCTTACATTTTTAATTTACAAAAATAATTTTGATTTTAGACTCTGTATTTTTTGATTTACAGAAAAATGTATTTAAAAATTATGTTTTTAGTTTACTAACAATAAAACATTAAAAAATACAAGTAATAATTTTTAATAAATTGCTTTAATTTTTATACATTATTCTGTTATTTTCAAGGAACACATTAATGAAACTATAGCGGTAAAATGGTCAAATCTTAAAAATATCCATGGGAATTCATGTAATTGTAGTGGTCAATCATAGACTTTTAACCGCAAAAACTGGGTAAGTGGGTAGTTCCGGAGTTGATTGGTGCAAATTTTAGTATTTTATGTTTTAGGGGGTATGCAATGTAATAAAACTATTGACTACTTGACTACTTGTGCTTAATTCACACCTTTCCTCCAATTCTCTTCTGTTTTGTTTCCTTCATTCTATCTATTTCCTACACTCTGACATGGACTTTTTGTTTGTCTTCCTTATTCATTCATTTATTCTGATCAGCCAATGACCCTCAAGTTCTACATATCTATATACTACTGTTTGCTCCTATTTTAATTATAAATATTTCGTAAGACTTTGTTTTTATTAAAGAGTCGGTTGTTGGGAACTGGTCTTCACTCTTCTTGCTTCCACACACTTTTTCTCTCCGCTTCTCTCCTTGTTTTCAATCTTTATATTGAGATAATCCATTTGGGTTATTTTGGTATTGGATTTGTAGTCTTCTTTACTTGTGTTAGTAGATTGCGATGGAAGAGAGATATGAGCCATTAAAGGAGCTAGGTTCTGGAAATTTTGGGGTGGCCAGGTTGGTCAGAGATAAGAAGACTAAGGAACTTGTTGCAGTCAAATACATAGAAAGAGGGAAGAAGGTAATCATCTTTTAACCTATCAGATTCTTGTATACAATCCTGTATGTGGTAGTGCCACACTGATGATCAATATGTTCTCTACTATATTTGAAGATTTTCTGTATTGCCGATTTCCAGAAATGGGCTACTTAGCTCTGCTTCAAATCATTCTCTTGAGTCTTTCATTTTCTCCCCTTCATATCTGTTATTACTGACCAATTACTAGAAGATGAATTTCAAAGTCTTCTGTTGTTGGATGAAATGTTCTGTTTTGGAGGAGGATAATTTTATTATGAGAATACATTTGTTATTTTCTGAAATTCTTAATGATAGGAGGATTTTGTCTATGAATATTCGTTCACTTAATGAGTTTACTTCACAAGTTAGGTCCACACATTATGATTATTATATTGGTTTAAATGGAAGAGGAAATGTTTATTATATTGGTTTAAATGGAAGAGGAAATGTTTTCTTTTCAATAGTTGAAATAGGGTTACTTTACAAGTAATAAGAATTTTGTTTCTGGTTGCAGATTGATGAGAATGTTCAGAGGGAGATCATCAACCACAGATCTTTGAGGCATCCAAACATTGTCCGCTTCAAAGAGGTAAGACTGTACTTGTTTAATTTGAGAGAACTGTTGAAGTTTGTAGATATTTAGGGGACAATTTAAGCANGTCAGTTTCATGTCTTATATAATTAGTTAATTTGGTGTTTCGTTTGTTTACTTGTTCTAGGCCAGCACCCAATCTTGGTGATTCAATTGGAGGCCATGTAGCCCCTAATGTATCATATCCCTTGCTAAATATGTCCACAAATTCACAGCCACAAGCTGTTTCGCAGTTGGCAAACCAAGAAGCTGCTGCCCTAAGTGTCACACAACAATTACACTCTTCTCTGCTGCAAGCGCCTTCACAGTTTTCTCAGGTGGCATTGCAACAGGTACACCCTCCGCAGCAAAGTTCTCAGTCATCTCAGCAAATGGTCTCTGAGATCCAAAAAGAGTTGCATCCGAGACATCCGTTAACTCAAAATTTAGAGCAGCAGCAAAATTCCCAGGTTACCAGGCTTGAGGTACTGCATTGATTGATATGTAAGGAATGCCAGTTATCCATTTCGTTTGACACCTTGATGTTTTAATGCAGTGTGGCTGGTAATGCTTGAACTTATAGGACTGATAGAACAGAAAGTGAGAGAGGGGAAGAACAAGAAGAAAAATTAATGGAAGAAAATACGAGGAACTAAGAGTTTCATGTTATTTTTATTTTTTTCTAGTGAACGGCCGTTCATCAAACATGGACGAGGGTCCATTTACTATAATAAAAAATTAGGCTTAATTTGACCTCAAAATAAGTTTTGAATTTACATTTATTTTGAAACACTTTTTCTTTTTTATCTGCCAGAGAACTTTGTATCTACTATCTAGACACTGGCGTCCAAAGTTTTTCTTTCATTCTTTAAAAGCCAAAATAATGGACGGGCCGTCCAAAAGTAAGGGACGTCCCCAAAGTTTTTCTTTTGTTTTTAAAATCTAAATAATGGACTGACATCCATTCTTTACGGATGCCCGTCCAAACATAAGGGACAGCCATCCATAATTTATGAACGGACATCCCCAAAGTTTTTTTTTTTTTTTTTTAATTTTCATATTTAGATTAAGAATGGGTGTCCCTTATTTGCGGACGCCCATCCAAAATAAAGAGACGGTCGTCCATAAAGGATGAACGGCCGTCCCTAAATATTTGTTAATTTTTTAAAAAGAATTGTTAATGGACGGGCGTCCATTAAAATATGAACGCCCGTCCAATATTTAGGGACAGCCGCCCATAACCTATGAGCGGCCGTCCTTAATTTTTATAAAAAAAATTTATTCTATTTTACTTATGGACGGGTGTCCTTTAAATGGGGACGCCCGTCCGTAGCAAATGGACTCCCGTCCATATAATATGGATGGGAGTCCATGTAAGTGAACGACCATCCATATTTGATGGACGATCATTCACTAGAAAAATATTTATTGTTCAATCACGCATCTGGATTGCTGGTGTGAGTCAGGGGGATATGTAGGCCGGTACACATTTTCGATGCAAAAACCCCAGTGTCCGTAGCTTTATTGAACTTTGATACTTCTCACATCCCCCTTAAAACATTTCATTGTTCCACCCAAGTCCTCTTGCTAAATTCATATTGGTCCTCCAGTCCTTATTTCATCACCAAAACATCCCTAAAAAGTTATGATTTCTTACAATTTATCCCCTAAATCAATAAAATAAATTTAAATAAAAATGCCACAAAATTACGGGGTATTACAATATGTATATAATTAAATTGGAAATAGAGATTTTTTTTTCTAGATATATTTTGCTAAATGAGATTAAAAATTGTTACTAAATATATATAGATATATATATAGGGGCAAAATCGGACTTGCTTTCTCCCGCCAAAAGCAACGAACTGCATAACTCTTCGTCTTCTTTTTTTTCTGTTAGGTTACTCTTCTTCTTCCTCTCCTTTGCATTTCTTCAACATTTCTCTTTATTTTCTTTTAGTAATGCCTCTCTGCGTTCATTGATAGAAAATTATTCTTGACAATTCTTTCCATTCACACAATCGGACTGTTCATAGAAAGAACAACCCTCCGTGCCCTCACTGTAGAAACGTCTTTAGGTACACGGCCAAATTATACCAACACATAGAACAATTGCATGTTAACCCCAACCCTAATAACCCCAATCAGTAAACTAGTAAAGCGTTCGCATTGACCTGAAGTTTCTTGTTTTCAATATTTATATTGATAATCCATTTGGGTTCTTTTGGTATTGGACTAGTCTTGTTTATTTGGGTTAGTAGATTGCGATGGAGGAGAGATATGAGCCATTGAAGGAGCTCGGGTTTGGAAATTTTGTTGCAGTCAAATACATAGGAAGGGGGAAGAAGGTAATCATCTTTTATCCTATCAGGTTCTTGAGTCTTTCTTTTTCTTGAGTCTTCCTTTTTTATCACTGATCAACTACTAGAAGGTGAATTTAAACATTTATGAAACCTGTGAATTTTGTACAGGATTTGGTATCTTGTATTTTAAATATAAGTTCTTTAATATATATGTATAAATTATCTACGCCTCACCTTTATACCTTTTTTCCTGAAAGAAAAAAAAAAAAACTCAATACTAAGGGGTAGTAAGTCATAAATTATATCTTACATTATAGTACTCCTTAGTTTTAACTTTCATTATTGTTCTTGCTTTACATCTTGCAGTCAGGATTGTTGCACTCACAGCATAAATCAACTGTTGGAACTCCAGCATACATTGCTCCGAAGCTCCTGTCACGAAAGGAATATAATGGAAAGGTATTGAGTTTTTATTTTTCATTTGATTTGGTGTGTTCCAGTAAACACTGGGTTAGAATATACTGCCGATGGAAGTATGGAGACATCATGTGGATCAATAAATGATAGGAGCGCTCAATAGATACTATGAACCTGAAGTTTATTAAACTCCTCAATTTCGCCTGGATTCGAAATCCAGGACTTTAGACAATCCACAAATGTGTGGAGGCCTATGCCACTAGACCACATGGCCATTGGCAAACATGAGAAACTACATGCTTGTCACATTGATCTCCTGTTTCTGTGGATGCTCTTATTCAGGATCTCCTAATGAATTCGAATGCATAAGCATTTATATTATACATAAAGCTCTTCTAAGGGTGCAAGAAGTTAGTGATCCATAAGATATTTGATGGCAATGACATAATGATATGCCAGAAAGAAAGTTTATTCCTGCTGGAAAACTTCTCCCGACATCTAGCTTTGCTGGCTTACTGAACTCTCTATTTCAAGTCATGCATATCTGTTTCTTTACGGTGTGTTCTATTCTGATTCTTATGGTGCTTAAAAAAGTTTAGCTTCTGTGATATGCTGAGCTATGTTAACTTTGATACTCATACTAATGGTTAAAGATTTCTCTAATCTAGTATCCACTTACCTTTGTGTTTGCATTTGGTTCTTAAAAGTTATCTAGCATTTTTTTCTTAATTGGATATAACATCTCTATTATAGTAATAACAGTGAGGTCATATAAATTTTCTTGGTAATTTTATTGTTTGTGGCTTGTAGATTTCAGATGTTTGGTCCTGTGGTGTGACGCTCTGTGTGATGTTGGTGGGTGCCTACCCTTTTGAGGATCCAGAAGATCCTAGAAATTTTTGTAAGACCATTGATGTGCGTCTCTTCAACAGAATAATTCTATGATTTGAAGATTCTACTTTCTCTAGTATATTGTGTATCATGAAGTTCGATCTTTTATTTATCTAAACAGAGAATAAAGAGTGTTCAGTACTCCATACCCGACTATGTATGTGTGTCTGCAGACTATAGACATCTTCTTTCTCGGATTTTTGTTTCTGACCCTTCAGAGGTAAACACCTTTTTTTTTTTTTTTTTTTAATGGCATTTTGTCCTCTAAACATTTTTCATATCTTCTCTTTGTTCTTTTCTTTAAATTTATTTAATTACTTGATTTCACATGTTTATATGAATGAATCTTTAATCGTTTGTAAACTGATCCTGTCTTTTCCTCCTAACAGAGGATTAGTATCCCAGATATCAAGCAGCACCCATGGTTTCTGAAAAATTTGCCGAAAGAGCTAATTGAAATTAAGAAAACAAACTTTAGGGAAGCATTACATGATCAACCATCTCAGGGTGTTGAAGAAATAATGCGTATCATACAAGTAGTGGCGGATCCAGGAATTTCACTCGATGGGGGCAAAAAATAAAAAAAAAATTTATGGGGGCAAAATGTCAAAATCTTATAGGGGGTAAAATGCAACTAAATATAAATATTTATATAATTTGAAGTTTTTTAAAGTTTGAGTGGAGGCCGTGGTCCCCACTCGTCATTAAGTAAATCCGCCACTGCATACAAGAAGCAAAGACGCCAGGTGAAGAAGCCAAAGTCGGCGCACAAGCTAGCGCAGGGGCTGATGATTTGGATGGTGAATAGAATCTGAGGTCGATGTCAGTGGTGACCATCTTTTCTGACTGTACAAATCAGATTGAAAAGGATTTATAGTTAAAGCTTATGGTGTTTTCAATCACTAGTGTTAACAATGTGTTGGCAAAATTATACAGTATATTGGATAGTGTTGCCCTACAATATTAGTACTGAACCAATTTGGGTGCACGTACCATATGCTGAAAAGAGTTCTTGTCATTTTACATTGATATATTCTTTCCCTTTTTTAGAAAAATCTGTAGGTATGTAAAAGTGATGTAAATTTTCCAAAAACGTTTTAACAAAGTTAATTAACTAACAAGTTATCTTTATTTTTACATTTAAAAGATGAAAATACGTTTTAATAAAGCCCGAGTAAGTGCATGGAGGAGATACGGTTGGGGGTGAATGCATGTTGTAAAAGGGTGAGGGTTAGCCATTTGAGTGTGTGTGTCCAGTTGTTACGGCTAAATTGGCTGCACTCATCGATATTAATCGAGTCATAAAGCTCCTCAAAGGTTGTGGCAGAAGGGTGGTTCGCCATTTCAAGTGTGGCTGTAAGACTAGCACCTCTCTCTCTCTCTGATCTCTCTGTGTATATATATATATATAACTTTTTTAATTAAGTCACACTCATATATAATTAATATAGTATCAAAAGTTTTCTTTTTCTTTTTATATTTCAATGCATTCAACATATTGCGTACATCTCTTTTCCTTTTTCTCAATTCCTTTTTCTACATTTTCTCGGCAAGCAATAATAGAAGCAATATGTACACTCGCATATGCACACACATTATTGTTTAAAAAGATATTAAAATGGAATGGGATTAAGTAATCACAGGAGACGAGGAGATCAAACCCAAAAGACTGGTCTTTGCCAAACACGAACTTTTGCATGGAAGAATCAAGCGAGCCATTAAATGGAAAACAAAATAAAACCCTATAAAAACAAAACTACTACCAATAATACTTTAATACATTAACCAAACTAACTAACAGTAAAGTAAGTAAACTTGAAAAGAGTTTTTATTTTGGTAAAAAAGGAAAGATACCCAGAAAACAAAAACCGAAAAACCCTATCCCACAAAAGAGAAACTTAAAAGAAAAACAGAGTGTCACTCTGGGTTCTTATATAAGGATATGGATAATTCAAATTATGGACAAAAAAAATCAAAGGAAAAATAAAATAAAAAAAAATAGATAAAATAAAAATTACTAGAAACCAAAATGAAGAGTAACAAAGAGAAACACAGGAATTCTTATCTTAAAAACCTGGGATAGAACAAAAAACAAATGCCCCACATGGAAGACATTTATCGTTAAAAAAAGTAACTAGAAGAAGCCCTAATTAAAGAACAATTACAAGTGCCCCACCCGAAATCGAATTTTTTATATTATCTTTGATCCGATCCTTTTCGTTTGTTTTCATCATTTCATCAACATTTGGTGAGCCGGATCTATCGGAAGTGGCCCAAAATTTATAATGGACTAAGCCCTATCTTCTTTCATCCAAATCTTGGGCTCATTGACGAAAAGATTTTGAGCCCATGTTTGAAGAAAAACAACTTGTAAAATTAATTAATTTAGCGTTAAAGGGTGAGTAAATGAATGTGTAGCATCGTAGCATGGGCTCAGTGTTAGGGTGGACTCAAAATAGTTGAGAAACTGGAATTTTTATTATTATTTTTTTATTTTATTTTTTTTATGATCAGAAGTGTTCGAACTAATTTATATATACTTTAATTAATCTTTTAGGACTCTGGAACTACTGAGTGGATAAGAACTCCAATGGTCACCCCTATTAACAATTGAGGAAGACCTCAAACTTAAAACCTCTTGAATAATACACTCAAGAATCTCTATTGAACTATTCAACCCCTTTAGGATTTGTTAAAAGCTGGATTAGATATGGAAGATAATTAAGAAACCAATACACTAATGGTAGAACCATCATAGATCAATTTGATAGGGATTAAAAATTACTTCCATTGAGTTCAATTGTCCGGGTTTTTTTTGGGCCTACTTTAAACTTGGCCCAAGTTTTTATTGGAGCCCAACTTAATTTTATACACATTGATAATACAATCTAAAGTATAAACTAAAGGCATGCATAATCGGTATTAAATATCAAATAAATACCCATATAAGCTGTCTAATTTTAAGCATTAATGTGCAAATCAATGACTATATTCAATAGCATTAAAAATAAAATATAATGGCCATTCGAATTTGCCAGTTGTTGTTGTACTAAAACTTTAAAGTCAACCAAGTCAAAATTGTTTGACACCTATATTTCTATTTATATTACATTTTGGTTCCTCACTAGCAATAGGTCAATTAAAAGTGTTCATATTTCAATGCATTGGTCTTTGCAGCCATAGCCGTAGACGTTTAAAATACTATTTCAGCTTAATGCTAACCTTTACAACACGACAAACTTGAATACTTAAAAGATGTTAGGTATATGAATATGATGAGGTGTCAAAACTCCTAAAAGTATACATAACTTTATATTTTAACAGACAGGTACCACCCATATTATCATATTCATAATTGGGTTGCATAAATTTCTTTTATCCGGACTCCGTAGTTGTTGCTTTTGAGGTGATTGTGTTCACACAAAGAACCTAATGGATTTTAAAATAAGATTAATTTACCATAACAACATGCTAATCATAAGGTTTTATTGAATTGAATAATTCTCCAAAGAGATAAGGCCAATGTTTTGCTATTACCAATACAATGTTCGAAGCATACTACTACCATGTTCAACTTTCTTTTTATATTTTGAAACTCCAGCTTGGCATTAACCCAAACACCTTCAAAACTTTCCCACAAAGCGCTTTTTCCTAAAAGTGCTAATTTATTACAAATAATGTTACCGATACTGAATTTTTGTACCGAATTTATGTACCAAAAGACATGGTCTCTAGTGAGCCACGACCACGTTGGAGATAAAACACGTCTTCTGTAAATAAACAACTGTTCAACAATTATGAATGCTCATCCATATTTGATAGACGACCGTTCATCTTGAATGAACGAGTGTCCACAAAAATATCAATGGACTCTCGTCTATTATATGGACATGTGTTCATTTACTATGGATGGACATTCATATAAGATGAACGCCTGTCTAGAAAATTTTAAAAACAAAACAATGGACGCCCGTCTATATACATTGGGTAATTGATGGATGGGCGTCCATCTTATATGGAAGGTCGTCCATATACAATAAATGAAATTTCTATTACCCAATGTATATGCAATACCAATTAATAATTCCATTTTATTTGTCCTCTTGCTCAATTCAATTCAATGCAATTTCTATTTTAATATTACACTGTTACCATGGCTTAATGCTCATCTTGAAATACTCTTTATTGACTAGAGACCTGATCTTGAAATGCTCTTTATTGACTAGAGACTATATTAGAGATCAATAAAAGCCTGTTGTTGTTGTTGTTGTTATTATTATTATTATTGAAAATGAACGCCCTTTGGTATCTGTACGAGGTAAATAAAAATTTTTATTTGTTAATGGATGGTCGTCTATTTTAAATGGACGTCAGTCCATATTATATGAACCGGTGTCCATTATTATACTTTTAAAAATTTATGAATATGCGTTCATTCGAGGTGGACACCCGTCTGTAAGAAATGGATGAGAGTTCATTGTTATTTCATACGAGATTGATGAACGGAAGTCTATTTGAAATGAACAATCGTCCAACAATCATAGACGTTTGTTATATTTGATGGACGACTGTTCATTCACGAAAAACATATATTGTCTCTAATATGGTCATGTTTGATTGAATGTCACGTATATTAATATAAAAATTCGGTGTAAATTATCGGTATCCCTAAGGAATATTCATTTATTACTAGGAAAATAATGAAGGTAATTAAGCCAACTAATGTCTTTTTTAAGTAGTTTCCTGATAATGGGCCTAATTATGAGCAGTGAAGACTGTGCAATTGCGCCGCCTGGAGCTCACAACTTTCCAGATAATGTTCTCTGCAGTGCTGTCACAACTCACAACAACTTAATATTACATTTTGAAATACTGAAATGCAACTTTAAAATAGTAACATTGTTGAAAAGTTTATAAATGGGGTTTGTTTGTAACCCGACATGCATCCTAATCTCATGAAATTGAAGATTTCTGACAACATTTACTCCATTAATGCCTGTTTGAGTTGGTCCATGTTGCTCAGAAGTAGACAAATTTCAATCAATTTTGGAGTTGATTGATCAAACTTATGATGCTGACAAATTTCTTCCTCCTACGGCGTTTTGGTTTGGCCCACCATCACTTGAGTTGTGTCAACATACCAAACAAATTAAATTAATTCTTGAGCTATTATATATATATATATGTTAAGAAAATAAACCCATATGAATTTTTGTCTTTTGAGCACCTTCCAAACTTCATAATTTTCTTTTATGCTTTACACACTTGTACTCTTAATTTCTAAGTTAAGGGGACAATTTTTGGGGTTGTTCAAACTTCAAACCTGATACAGAAGGGTTTTCATTTATCTTTACAAGATTGCTTATTACTATTGAAAAATAAGAAACTCTCTAATAAAGGGTCATAAACTCTATTCATACTTCAAACTTCAAATCACCTACAGACTCTCTCTTGTAATGGAACTAATTGATTGCATGAAAAACCGAAGAGAGTGTGAATAGATGAGAGCCGTAAAAATAATTTGCTGTTGTTGGGGCATCACATGACAGCATGTGCTAAGGAAGTAGTACCAAAAGAGTGTTTTGGACTGATGTTGAAAGGGGCCAATCCAAAATATCATTCAAGTCAACTTCACAGAAGCTTGGTTTGTTACTTGTTATACACCAATGATTTGGGGAAGAAAAAAGAAATACATATTTATATCAGCTGCTGACCAGTTTAAACGGTAATAATCAGAAAGGAGAATGTTATGGAAATGGCAATTAAGAGAAGCCAGCTAGCCCTTTGTTCATTGGCTTTTGGTCAGTCAAATTACATAATGGAAAGTAGCTTCCATATTTGATGCATAAGAAATCAGATACTAATTCCCAGTAAGATTTTGCGCATCGTAGTTAAACAACTGTCCCTAAATATTGGACGGACGTTTTATATTTAATGGACACCCTTCCATTAACAATTCTTTTAAAAAAAATTAAAAAAATTTAGGGCCGGCGTTTCATTAGTTATGGACAACCGTCCCTTCATTTTGGATGGACGTCCGCAAATAAGGGATACCCATCATTTACGTTGGATGGTGTTCGTAAGGCATGGACGCCCGTCCATTATTTTTGGTTTTAAAAACAAAGAAAAACTTTGGGGACGCCCGTCCACAAGTGTCCCTTACATTTGGTTGGCGTGCATTAGCTCTTCCCTTATTGTGGTTAATTTGAAATTTAATGGTAAGTCATAGGTAGCTCCATATTTCTTACTTTTTTTTTGTGTGGTCTGTTATATGAATTGAATTGGTAGTCCATGTAAACAGTACATTATGCTTATTTGACCTCAAATAATTTTTGATTTACATTTATTTTGAAAATTTTTTTCTTTTTATCTGCCAGAGAACTTTGTATATACTATCTAACACTGGCGTCCAAAGTTTTTCTTTCATTCTTTAAAAGCCAAAATAATGGACGGGCCGCCCAAGTAAGGGACGTCCCCAAAGTTTTTTCTTTGTTAAAATCAAATATGGATGACATCCATTCTTTAGGACGCCGTCCAAACATAAGAAGCATCCATAATTTATGAACGGACAAAAAGTTTTTTTTTTTTTTTTATATTTAGATTAAGAGGGTGTCCCTTATTTGCGGACGCCCATCCAAATAAGAGACGTCGCCCATAAAGGATGAACGCCGTCCCTAAATATTTTTTAATTTTTTAAAAAGAATGTTAATGGACGGGCGTCATTAAAATATGAATGCCGTCAATATTTAGGGACAGCCGCCATAACCTATGAGCGCCGTCCTTAATTTTATAAAAAAAATTTATTCTATTTTACTTATGGACGGGCGTCCTTTAATTGGGACACCATGTAAGTGAACGACCATCCATATTTGATGGACGGTCGTCACTAGAAAATTTTTATTGTTCAATCACGCATCATGGATTGCTTGTGTGAGTCAGGGGGATAGGCCGGTACACATTTTCGTGCAAAAACCCGGTGTCCGTAGCTTTATTGAACTTGATACTCTCACATCCCCTTAAAACATTCATTGTTCCACCCAAGTCCTCTTGCTAAATCATATTGGTCCTCCAGTCCTTATTTCATCACCAAAACATCCCTAAAAAGTTATATTTCTTACAATTTATCCCCTAAATCAATAAATAAATTTAAATAAAATGCCACAAATTACGGGGTATTACAATATGTGTATAATTAAATTGGAAATAGAGATTTTTTTTTCTAGATATTTTGCTAAATGAGATTAAAATTGTTACTAAATATATAGATATATATAAGGGGCAAAATCGGACTTGCTTTCCCCCGCCAAAAGCAACGAACTGCATAACTCTTCGTCTTCTTTTTTTCTGTTAGGTTACTCTCTTCTTCCTCTCCTTTGCATTTCTCAACATTTCTCTTTATTTTCTTTTAGTAATGCCTCTCTGCGTTCATTGATAGAAAATTATTCTTGACAATTCTTTCCATTCACACAATCGGACTGTTCTAGAAGAACAACCCTCCGTGCCGTCACTGTAGAAACGTCTTTAGGTACACGGCCAATTATACCAACACATAGAACATTGCATGTTACCCCAACCCTAAACCCCAATCAGTAAACTAGTAAAGCGTTCGCATTGACCTGAAGTTTCTTGTTTTCAATATTTTATTGATAATCCATTTGGTTTCTTTGGTATTGGACATCTTGTTTATTTGGGTTAGTAATTGCGATGGAGGAGAGATATGAGCCATTGAAGAGCTCGGGTTTGGAAATTTTGTTGCAGTCAAATACATGGGAAGGGGAAGAAGGTAATCATCTTTTATCCTATCAGGTTCTTGAGTCTTTCTTTTTCTTGAGTCTTCCTTTTTTATCACTGATCAACTACTAGAAGGTGAATTTAAACATTTATGAACCTGTGAATTTTGTACGATTTGTTATCTTGTATTTTAAATATAGTTCTTTAATATATAGTATAAATTACTACGCCTCACCTTTATACCTTTTTTTCCTGAAAGAAAAAAAAAAAACTCAATACTAAGGGTATAAGTCATATTATATCTTACATTATAGTACCCCTTAGTTTTAACTTTCATTATTGTTCTTGCTTTACATCTTGCAGTCAGGATTGTTGCACTCACAGCATAAATCAACGTTTGGAACTCCAGCATACATTGCTCCGAAGCTCCTGTCACGAAAGGAATAAATGGAAGGTATTGAGTTTTTATTTTTCATTTGATTTGGTGTGTTCCAGTAAACACTGGGTTAGAATATATGCCATGGAAGTATGGAGACATCATGTGGTCAATAATGATAGGAGCGCTCAATAGATAATATGAACCTGAGTTATTAAACTCCTCAATTTCGCCTGGATTCGAATCCAGACTTTAGACAATCCACAATGTGTGGAGGCCTATGCCACTAGACCACATGCCATTGGCAACATGAGAACTACATGCTTGTCACTTGATCTCCTTTTTCTGTGGTGCTCTTATTCAGGATCTCCTAATAATTCGAATGCATAAGCATTTATATTATATAAAGCTCTTCTAAGGGTGCAAGAAGTTAGTGATCCATAAGATATTTGTGGCAATGACATAATGATATGCCAGAAAGAAAGTTTATTCCTGCTGGAACTTCTCCCGACATCTAGCTTTGCTGGCTTACTGACTCTCTATTTCAAGTCATGCTATCGTTTCTTTACGGTGTTGTTCTATTCTGATTCTTATGGTGCTTAAAAAAGTTTAGCTTCTGTGATATGCTGACTATGTTAACTTTGATACTCATACTAATGGTTAAAGATTTCTCTAATCTAGTATCCACTTACCTTTGTGTTTGCATTTGGTTCTTAAAAGTTATCTAGCATTTTTTTCTTAATTGGATATAACATCTCTATTATAGTAATAACAGTGAGGTCATATAAATTTTCTTGGTAATTTTATTGTTTGTGGCTTGTAGATTTCAGATGTTTGGTCCTGTGGTGTGACGCTCTGTGTGATGTTGGTGGTGCCTACCCTTTTGAGGATCCAGAAGATCCTAGAATTTTTGTAAGACCATTGATGTGCGTCTCTTCAACAGAATAATTCTATGATTTGAAGATTCTACTTTCTCTAGTATATTGTGTATCATGAAGTTCGATCTTTTATTTATCTAAACAGAGAATAAAGTGTTCAGTACTCCATACCCGACTATGTATGTGTGTCTGCAGACTATAGACATCTTCTTTCTCGGATTTTTGTTTCTGACCCTTCAGAGGTAAACACCTTTTTTTTTTTTTTTTTTTTGTGTGGCATTTTGTCCTCTAACCATTTTCTCATATCTTCTGTTTGTTTTTCTTTCTTTAAATTTATTATTTACTTGATTTCACAGTTTTATGAATGAATCTTTAATCGTTTGTAACTGATCCTGTCTTTTCCTCCTAACAGAGGATAGTATCCCAGATATCAAGCACACCATGGTTTCTGAAAATTTGCCGAAAGAGCTAATTGAAATTGAGAAAACAAACTTTAGGAAGCATTACATGATCACCATCTCAAGGTGTTGAAGAAATAATGCGTATCATACAGAAGCAAGACGCAGGTGAAGAAGCCAAGTCGGCGCACAAGCTAGCGCAGGGGCTGATGATTTGTGGTGAATAGAATCTGAGGTCGATGTCAGTGTTGACCATCTTTTCTGACTGTACAAATCAGATTGAAAAGGATTATAGTTTGAAGCTCATGTTGTTTTCAATCACTAGTGTTAACAATGTGTTGGCAAAATTATACAGTATATTGGATAGTGTTGCCCTACAATATTAGTGCTGAACAATTTGGTGGCACGTACTGTATACCCGAGATGTCAAAGGTATAATTCTAACTTAATAGTCCTTTAAAAATTTTATTTTTGTTAAAAACATAAATCTAACTAGGCAAATAATCACTTCATTTGGAACGGTATGAATCAATTATCCATAAGAGCTTAGGGGCAAAATGATTATTTTGCCTATGGATAAGCTTGAAAAGTCAAAGATGATTAGGCTTCATTGCATTTCTGGCATTAATTAAGTAATAATTATGTCTAGTGTGAAATGACCAAATACCCTTATATGAATAATTAAAGACTTATTGTTATACAATAAAATAATTGGGCCAAGCTAATTTTGTAAAATAAATGAAATATTTCCTATAATGAATAAATCCTTCAAGCCAAAGGAGAGAGCCTTTCTTCAACATTTCTTCCATTTTCTCTCAATCTTCCATAACAACTTTTCTTTCTCTAGTTTTTCAAAGAGTTTTGCATAATTTTTCAAGAGACCAAGATAAACTTGAACTTCATTTGAAGGGTTAAGTAGATAAAACTTAGTTTGATGTGATTTTGAAGATTTGAGGTAATTTTGAGGTATAATGTTATATATAATTGAAAGGTTCTTTAATGGATAATTCAAATTATAGAACCTTTCAAATTATGGACAAAAATAATAAATAAAATAGATAAAATAAAATTACTAGAAACCAAAATGAAGAGTGACAAGAGAAACACGAGGAATTCTTATCTTAGAAACCTGGATAGAACAAAAAAAAAACAAATGCCCCACATAGACTTTTATCGTTAAAAAAACGTAACTAGAAAAAGCACTAATTAAAGAACAATTACAAATGCGATGCCCCACTCGAAATCGAATTTTTTATATTATCTTTGATCCGATCCTTTTCGTTTGTTTTCATCATTCATCAACATTTGGTGAGCCGGATCTATCGGAAGTGGCCCAAAATTATAATGGACTAAGCCCTATCTTCTTTCATCCAAATCTTGACTCATTGACGAAAAGGTTTTGAGCCCATGTTTGAATAAAACAACTTGTAAAATTATTTATTTAGCGTTAAAGTAAGGGTGAGTAAATGACGTGTAGCATCGTGCATGGGCTCAGTGTTAGGTGGACTCAAAATAGTTGAGAAACGGAATTTTTATTATTATTTTTTTTTTTTATTTTTTTTTGATCAGAAGTGTTCGAACTAATTTATATACTTTAATTAATCTTTAGGACTCTGGAACTCCTGAGTGGATAAGAACTCCAATGTCACCCCTATAACAATTGAGGAAGACCTCAACTTAAACTCTTGAATATACACTCAAGAATCTCTATTGAACTATTCAACCCCTTTAGGATTTGTTAAAAGCTGGATTAGATATGGAAGATAATTAAGAAACCAATCACTAATGGTAGAACCACATGATCAATTTGATAGGGATTAAAAATTACTTCCATTGAGTTCATTGTCCGGGTTTTTTTTGGGCCTACTTTAAACTTGGCCCAAGTTTTTATTGGAGCCCAACTTAATTTTATACACATTGATAATACACTAAAGTATAAACTAAAGCATGCATAATCGGTATTATAAATATCAATAATACCCATATAAAGCTGTCTAATTTTAAGCATTAATGTGCAAATCAATGACTATATTCAATAGCTTAAAAATAAAATTAATGGCCATTCGAATTTGCCAGTTGTTGTTGTACTAAAACTTTAAAGTCACCAAGTCAAAATTGTTTGACACCTATATTTCTATTTATATTACATTTTGGTTCCTCACTAGCAATAGGTCAATTAAAAGTGTTCTATTTCAATGCATTGGTCTTTGCACCATAGCCGTAACGTTTAAATACTATTTCAGCTTAATGCTAACCTTTACAACACGACAAACTTGAATACTTAAAAGATGTTAGGTATATGAATATGATGAGGTGTCAAAACTCCTAAAAGTATACAAACTTTATATTTTAACAAACAGTACCACCCATATTATCATATTCATAATCGGGTTGCATAAATTTCTTTTATCCGGACTCCCAGTTGTTGCTTTTAGGTGATTGTGTTCACACGCCAACAAATTTCGTTAATTATTAACTTTTTAATCTCTTAATTTTAGTATAAATATTATATACACGAACAAGTAAATTAAATATTAGATTTTGTATTCTATTTAACAACAAAATTGGGAAGCAAAACCTTATATTATAATAGTAGAATTTTATTAAATATGAATAAAAATAAAATACTTATTTAGGTTGTGTTGTGTCGTTGTGAGGTAGGAAAATATTTGTCAGATTATGATTTGATTTTGTTTTTCTTTCTTTATTTGATTTTTTTATTTAGGATTTTATTTTAGGAAATGAAGTAGTTTTCTATTGTAAGTTGGAGTTTAGTTTAGTTAGGAAGTTTTAGTTTACTTAAGCTTTACTTTTTTATTTTATAATTTCTTGTTCTAATAATATTAGGTTTCTTATAAGTGTTATTATCTTATAAATATCTATGTAATTCATAAGTTTTATTCATTCAAGTTTTCAGCACTAATCGCCAGGTTAGAACGACATCTAGATTCTGTTGCGTCGGGCTGTTTATTACAACTTCCATTCCATCTTGATTCTTGCAGGTTTGTGTTAACATGGGCGCCTGGTCAGAATTGAACGAGGACCTTTTGATCGAAATTATCAAGCGGCTAACGTTGTATGAGGATCTCGTTACCTTCAGTTTGGTTTGTACTTCATGGCTATCGGTTGCTGTAAAGGAGAAGCCCAGATTTTTATCTAAACCTCCATGGCTGATGCTACCACCAGAAAAGCCCAACACTTGCCGACGAGGTTTTTACAGTTTCTCAGATAATATGACTCGCCAAGTTATGATACCGGAAGCAGAAGGAAGCAATAAACGAGCTAAAAGATGTCTTTCTTCTGGAGGTTGGATACTAACAATCTCCAAACGTTGGAGTATGGCTCTTTTGCATCCTTTCTCACGACGTCAAATTGAATTGCCGCACATGACCACTTTCAAAAATTGGGATTATCTTTCTTCTGTTCTTTATAGGCCACATATTAGTTTTATCACCAAGTTTGTTTTATCATCCAATCCTTTCAGTACATCAGATTACATAGTAATGGTTCTTCATGGATCTAAAAGAGAGTTGGCATATTGTAAGCCCGGTGAAGGTGATAAATCATGGACAACAATTGAAACGTCCGCTTCTTATAATCATGATGTTACTTACTACAATGGGCTATTTTATGTTATAAAAGACACTGGTCAAATGACGGCATGTGATATCAGAAGTGACATGGCAGAACAAGTTGCAGAGATGCCATCTGATTATTTAAAATATCCATTGTGCTTATACTTGGTGGAATCAGGAGGCGAACTGTTAGTCGTTTCACGAGTAGTAGAACGTGAAGACATAAGTAAAAGACGGAGTACTTATAGAACCAGTGAATTTCTGGTTTTCAAGGTGGATTTGAGAAGTAATACTTGGACAGAGATGAAGAATTTGGGGAATAGAGCTGTGTTTGTGGGTTATAATTCTTCGTTTTCTATTGAAGCAATGCTCTGCAAATCTAATTGCATTTACTTTACTGATGATAGCTGGGAAATTTATACTGATCTCACTTCCCATGGAGGAGGAAAGGATATGGGAATTTATAACCTCCAAGATGGAAGCATTGAACCGCATTTTAGGGGCAACTCCTATAGCTTTATGAATCCACCTATGTGGGTTCAACCTAGTTTCTTTAGAAAAAAATAAATGTGATAGATTATGACTGAGATTTTCATTTGTTAGATTATGACTGAGATTTTCATTTGTTTTGATAGTATCATATGCTTTTCTATGGTTGAATTTTGACTTCTAATTTGGGAAACAAAAGTATAAGTCAAATTCCTTATATATATTAGCAGCATCTTATCAAATATGAATAAAAAATGTACATGACGTATTTAGGTCGTCAATGTGTTACAACTTTCATCTTTAAGTATCAACAATAGGGGCGACTGGTCAGAGATGAGTAAGGAACTTTTGATCGAATTATCGACCGGCTAACGTTTTACAACTTTACTACAATTCAATCTCTTTTACTACAATTTTACTTGTATAAAACTTGCCAAAACCATGTGCTGCCACCTCCAATTTTCCTTTACTCCAACTTAAAGTGGAAAATTTTACACCCAGGGTTTAGGCTGTCACAATTCGCACCCCGAATCATCTAATGAAAACTTTGATAAGTTACAAATCACACCCTAGAAGTATCTGCATGCCCCCTTATTTGGCAAATATTGAAGGTTCCTAAACTTCAATAAAAAATGCTATGGACACTGGGATTTTTGCACCGAAATGTTGTACCGACCTACGTGTACCTCGATTCATACCAGCAAACCAAACACGTTTCACATTATTTTTATTTTTTTCTAGTGAACGGTCATTCATCAAATATGGATGAGGGTCCATTTACTATAATAAAAAATTAGGGATGACCATTCGTAGGTTATGAACAACTGTCCCTAAATATTGGACGGACGTTTATATTTTAATGGACACCCGTCCATTAACAATTCTTTTTAAAAAAAATTAAAAAAATTTAGGGCCGGCTGTTCATTAGTTATGGACAACCGTCCCTTCATTTTGGATGGACGTCCGCAAATAAGGGATACCCATCATTTACGTTTGGATGGGTGTTCGTAAGGCATGGACGCCCGTCCATTATTTTGGTTTTAAAAACAAAAGAAAAACTTTGGGGACGCCCGTCCACAAGTGTCCCTTACATTTGGATGGGCGTGCATTAGCTCTTCCCTTATTGTGGTTAATTTGAAATTTAATTGGTAAGTCATAGGTAGCTCCATATTTCTTACTAATTTTTGTGTGGTCATTGTTATTAGTGAAATTTAATTGGTAAGTCAATGTAAAACAGTACATTATGCTTAATTTGACCTCAAAATAAGTTTTGACTTTACATTTATTTTGAAACATTTTTTCTTTTTTATCTGCCAGAGAACTTTGTATATACTATCTAGACACTGGCGTCCAAAGTTTTTCTTTCATTCTTTAAAAGCCAAAATAATGGACGGGCCGCCCAGAAGTAAGGGACGTCCCCAAAGTTTTTCTTTTGTTTTTAAAATCAAAATAATGGAATGACATCCATTCTTTAAGGACGCTCGTCCAAACATAAGGGATAGTCATCCATAATTTATGAACGGGTATCTTTAAAGTTTTTTTTTTAATTTTTATATTTAGATTAAGAACGGGTGTCCCTTATTTGCGGACGCCCATCCAAAATGAAGAGACAGTCGCCCATAAAGGATGAACGACCGTCCCTAAATATTTTTTAATTTTTTAAAAAGAACTGTTAATGGACGGGCGTTCATTAAAATATGAATGCTCGTCCAATATTTAGGGACAGCCGTCCATAACCTATGAGCGGCCGTCCTTAATTTTTATAAAAAAAATTTATTCTATTTTACTTATGGACGGGCGTCCTTTAAATTGGGACACCATGTAAGTGAACGACCATCCATATTTGATGGACGGTCGTTCACTAGAAAAATATTTATTGTTCAATCACGCATCAGGATTGCTTGTGTGAGTCAGGGGGACACGTAGGCCGGTACACATTTTCGGTGCAAAAACCCTGGTGTCCGTAGCTTTATTGAACTTCGATACATCTCACATCCCCCTTAAAACATATCATATGTTCCACCCAAGTCCTCTTGCTAAATTCATATTGGTCCTCCAGTCCTTATTTCATCACCAAAACATCCCTAAAAAGTTACGATTTCTTACAATTTATCCCCTAAATCAATAAAATAAATTTAAATAAAAATGCCACAAAATTACGGGGTATTACAATATGTGTATAATTAAATTGGAAATAGAGATTTTTTTTTCTAGATATATTTTGCGAAATGAGATTAAAAATTGTTACTAAACATATATAGATATATATATAGGGGCAAAATCGGACTTGCTTTCTCCCGCCAAAAGCAACGAACTGCATAACTCTTCGTCTTCTTTTTTTTCTGTTAGGTTACTCTTCTTCTTCCTCTCCTTTGCATTTCTTCAACATTTCTCTTTATTTTCTTTTAGTAATGCCTCTCTGCGTTCATTGATAGAAAATTATTCTTGACAATTCTTTCCATTCACACAATCGGACTGTTCATAGAAAGAACAACCCTCCGTGCCGTCACTGTAGAAACGTCGTTAGTACACGGCAATTATACCAACACATAGAACAATTGCATGTTAACCCCAACCCTATAAACCCAATCAGTAAAATAGTAAAGCGTTCGATGACCGAAGTTCTTGTTTCAATTTTATATTGATAATCCATTGGGTTCTTTGGTATTGGACTAGTCTTGTTATTGGGTTAGTAGATTGCGATGGAGGGAGATATGAGCCATTGAAGAGCTCGGGTTTGGAAATTTTGTTGCAGTCAAATACATGGGAAGGGGGAGAAGGTAATCATCTTTTTCCATCAGGTTCTTGGTCTTTCTTTTTCTTGAGTCTTCCTTTTTATCACTGATCAACTACAGAAGGGAATTTAAACATTATGAAACCTGTGAATTTTGTACAGGATTTGGATCTTGTATTTTAATATAAGTTCTTTAATATATGTATAAAATTATCTACGCCTCACCTTTATACCTTTTTCCTGAAAGAAAAAAAAAAAAAACTAATACAGGGTGTAAGTCATAATTATATCTTACATATAGTACCTTAGTTTTAACTTTATTATTGTTCTTGCTTTACATCTGCAGTAGGATTGTTGCACTCACAGCATAAATCAACTGTTGGACACTCAGCATACATTGCTTCCGAGAGCTCGTCACGAAAGGAATAATGGAAAGGTATTGAGTTTTTATTTTTCATTTGATTTGGTGTGTTCCAGTAAACAATGGGTTAGAATATATTGCCATGGAAGTATGGAGACATCATGGATCAATAAATGATAGGAGCGCTCAATAGATATAGAACCTGAGTGTTATTAAACTCCTCAATTTTGCCTGGATTCGAAATCCAGGACTTTAGACAATCCACAAAGTGTGGAGGCCTATGCCACTAGACCACATGGCCATTGGCAAACATGAGAAACTACATGCTTGTCACATGATCTCCTGTTTCTGTGGATGCTTTATTCAGGATCTCCTAATGAATTCGAATGCATAAGCATTTATTATATATAAAGCTCTTCTAAGGGTGCAAGAAGTTAGTGATCCATAAGATATTGGTGGCAATGACATAATGATATGCAGAAAGAAAGTTTATTCGGTGGAAAACTTCTCCCGACATCTAGCTTTGCTGGTTACTAGACTCTCTATTTCAAGTCATGCATAATCTGTTTCTTTACGGTGTGTTCTATTCTGTTCTTATGGTGCTTAAAAAGTTTTAGTTCTGTGATATGCTGAGCTATGGTAACTTTGATATCATACTAATGGTAAAGATTTCTCTAATTAGTATCACTACCTTTGTGTTTGCATGGTTCTTAAAATTATCTAGATTTTTTTCTTAATTGGATATAACACATCTGCATTATAGTAATAACAGTGAGGTCATATAAATTTTCTTGGTAATTTATTGTTTGTGGCTTGTAGATTCCGATGTTGGCTGTGGTGTGACGCTCTGTGTGATGTTGGTGGTGCGCCTACCTTTTGAGGATCCAGAGATCCTAGAAATTTTGTAAGACCATTGATGTGCGTCTCTTCAACAGAATAATTCTATGATTGAGATTCACTTTCTCTAGTATTATTGTGTATCATGAAGTCGATCTTTTATTTATCTAAACAGGAATAAAGATGTTCAGTACTCCATACCCGACTATGTATGTGTGTCTGCAGACTATAGACATTTCTTTCTCGGATTTTTGTTTCTGACCCTTCAGAGGTAAACACCTTTTGTTTGTTTTTTAATGGCATTTTGGTCCTCTAAACATTTTCATATCTTTCTCTTGTTCTTTTCTTTAAATTTATTTAATATTGATTTCACATGTTTATATGAATGAATCTTTAATCGTTTGTAAAACTGATCCTGTCTTTTCCTCTAACAGAGGATTAGTATCCAGATATCAAGCAGCACCATGGTTTCTGAAAAATTTGCCGAAAGAGCTAATTGAAATTAAGGAAACAAACTTTAGGGAAGAGCATTACATGATCAACATCTCAGGTGTTGAAGAAATAGACGATATACAAGTTAGGTTTGGCGGACCAGGATTTCACTCGATGGAGGCAAAAAATAAAAAAAATGTATGGGGCAAAATGTCGAAACATCTTATAGGGGGTAAAAGACCTAACATATAAATATTATACTAATTTGAAGTTGTTTTTAAAGTTTGGTGGAGGCCCGTGGTCCCCATCGTCATTAAGTAAATCCGCACTGCATACAAGAAGCAACAGACGCCAGGTGAAGAAGCAAGCGGCGCAAACACGCTAGCGCAGGGGCTGATGATTGGGATGGTGAATAGGACATCTGGTCGATGTCAGTGGTGGACCATCTTTTCTGACTGTAAAATCAGTGGAAAAAGGATTTATAGTTTAACGCCTTCTGGTGTTTTCAATCAACTAGTGTAACAATGTGTTGGCAAATTATACAGTAGGGATTCGCTATGTTGCTCCTACAATGATAGTATGACAAAATTTTGGGGTGCACGCCATATGCTGAAAAGAGTTTTTTGTGTCTTGTTTTTTTGTTTTTGTTCATTTTACCATTGATATCAGTCTTTCCTTTTTTAGAAAAATCTGTGGTATGTAAAAGTGATGGTA